CACTCGGTGATTCACTGAATTTGTCATAAAAAAACTATCACACAATGTAAATTACATCTCTCAAATTCTGTTAAATACTATTACAAATAACCCTTAAGTTAAAGCACTAGCATAGAATAATAATAAAGATTGTTTGCATGTCTGGCTTATATAAAAATTTTAATACAAGCTGCATGAATATGAAAAATATAAATTACCTCTTCTTGACTAGGGGGGCCACCTCCATTGGGAAAGCCTCGCTGGAAAAAAGTTGGAAAATTTAATGATAATGAACAAGATAAAACATTTCAAAATAAATATGTAAATTATTTAGAAGAATTTCTGTAGACTTTTTATAAGTTTAACCTTATAAAACTTGTATAAAACATCAAAACATGAGAATAAATAAGAAAGGAAAAAGAAACTGCAATGTTTTTATAATATATTGAAATATTTGTTTTGTTGCATAACAACTATAAGCATAGCTGCCAACCTTTAACTATGAGTTCCAGGAGTTTCTGTGCTACCACCAAGCAATACTATTTCAAAATAAAAACCATAAGTTATTTAAATTTGCTTTATAATGCATGATTCAGGTTAAACTATGATTCTGGCATAAAGTACATTCGTATTTAATTAAATCTTTAAATTTTTGTTTTTTAGTAAATTTATTTTTTACTTTTCTTACACTTTCATATTAGGAAATAAAGAGGGAAGAACTTCATTAAATAACTTTCAAAGTGATAAAAATAACATTCATAATTTAATGCACATACTACTGTGTGGATAAACTTGGTATTGTGCAATACACTGATGCAAAACACAATTAAATTCAAATATTTACTGATTAAACACTAAAGGAGTGACAGTGATCCTATTTTTAAAATCTTAAAAATTACCACAACAAAAATTCAAAAAAAAAAAAGCAATTTTTTATTTTTACAATAAAGCTTCCTTTTCCTACAATTTTTTTTTAAAAAATTGCAAAAATCATCAACTTTTTATTTATTATTAAATAAACAAAGGAAAACAATCAAATATGTAGGTTTTTTAAGTTGAATTTTAATCTTTTGTAGTGTAAAAGCATTTTTTTATATTAGTTAATATCCTTAAATCTCACAACAAACAAAAAAGTTAATATTAAGTTTTATGAGTTTTTTGAAACAAGGGCAACACAGAGGATACCCGACTTTCCACACTGTATCTGTCCTTTCCTTACTAGCTTACCAATTGACTTTGCAATCTCTTTCACTGAGCGCAGAGGACACTTCCGTTGGATTGATTTTTTTCCCCAACCTTTCATAATCCTATCGAAAAAATCATGCTTTGCTTTTTCCATAATCGTCTCATTTTTCTTTCCAACGCTGCATCCTATTTAACATTACTTAATCTCAGCCAACGTATACTATACAATAGGAAAGCACACGACCGTCCCTCCAAAAGAAACCGCGCAGAAAACCAAAAGTGTTTGGCAAACTGCCAATCAAAGCTAAATATTTCCTTTCATTTCCTCCTGACCAAGTAAAACCGTGATAAAAGAAATCGTACTAACAAATAATTAACTGCATTATATACGAACCCGAGATAACTCCGGATAATCAGGCAAGCGTTTAATTCAAAATTATTTTGCCTTACATAATTTCATGTTGTTGCCTACTTTTAGGTTTCTCAACATTTAAAACAAATAACTGCTCTGACTTGTGGATTACTGCTCCTTAGATATTTTTCTTTAGTTCAGTAATGATCAGCAACACATTTTGGTTTTCACTTACTTGGTAAGCTTTCCAGTTATTCACCAAATTTATCTCCAAATTCTTTACCAATAAAGCTTTTACGTGTATTTTCTGATTTAAAAGTTTAGCATATATACTTTTAATAAAAATGAATAATATTTCATAGGCTGTGCACAATAAGACAAATAGTAAAAATAACTTTTCAGTATAAGAAAAACTTTTCTGATTGACTAAACAAAATGAACTGTTAACAAAGGGAAACTTGAAGCAAAATAAAACATTTTTAATTGGTTGTTTCAGTATTGAGTATTTCTGCCTTTCATCTTCTTTTAGATTACTCCAGTTCTTGTCTTCTATTTTTCCTCAATAATCTGAATTCCTGTCAGCAGCCTAATTTTTTTAAAAATGTATGTAATTGTTGAATGATATTTTTTCTAACAGAAAATTTGAGAAACAAACACACATATTCAAAAACACATATTCGAAAATTCTGTATTTGAGAAGATAAAAATCCAATTCCAGCTACATTCAGACTGCAATTACCCCTCACAATATCTGAATCTTCATTTAAATTCTACAAATATATATCTACTTGCAGATTAAAATAGCTCATCAAATAAATTTTAATACAAAAAACTATGCTGAACATCACTAGACGCAGAAAGGAATGGAGCTTGCACAATTAAATTTCAATAGATTTAATTTGTTTTTAAAAAAAAATGTTCCTAAAAATTAAACGTTCAAATTAAAAACCGGGGATCTACCAAAAGACCAGGTGATGCGACAAAAAAAAAAAAAAAAAGGGCAGCTATGCAATGACGTAATATAATGTTCTAAGAAAATACTAAACTTACATCCATTTCCTTTTGAGCAAGTAAGTCCATAACCATTTGCTTGGCAAACTGAAATTATATAATCAAGAAACATGTCATCTCAACTTTGTCGCACTTTTTAAAAATAAACACATTCTTATTACAAATGAAACTAGTAACTGTTTTACCTCTACTTTTTGTGGATCACCAGATATCCTTAATGGTTTTTCATGTGCTGTTTGTTGTGGACCATCCTGTATTAATACCATTTTAACTCCACCTTTCTCCTAAAAAAAATTTAACATGTTAGTCTTTCATAAAAAATTCATTAATAATTTTTAAAGGATGTTTACACAAGACAACTTAGCTCATTTCAAAGCTTCATTCACATTGACTAAAATTATCAAATGACTAAGCTGTTCAAATAATAGCATGTACTTCAATGAAATAGTAGCTTTTCCAATAAGATGATTCAATTAACCCTTTCTATGACATTACCACACACACCATATCAATTTGGCCCTAATTTTAGGCTAGTTTCTCAGTGAGATACAGGCATTTTAAACAAAAAATTATACTTAAACAGGTTATTTGAATACTTCTTTAAACTTCAGTGTGTATTATTTTTAACCCTTCCTATGTATTATTTTTTTAAAGTCAATTTTCAAAACAAACAAAAAATTTAAACTGTCTTTGGTTTTACATCTTTTTTTCAACATTCATTTGTTTTCTACCATTATAAAATTTTTTAACATTTATTACATAAAATGAATGACATTTTCTTTAAAGAAAATACTGAAATAACAATATAATGAGTAATTTGAACTATGTATATACCAGAATTTTTTTTTTTTTTGTAAAAAAAGGATACTCATGAGTTTGCAGTTCAGTTTGTAGACTTCTTAGTTACGCTTAATATTTTTTTAAACAATTCCAGCAAAAAATGCATGAATGGGGTCTTAACCATGTATTTACTGGAAAATCTTTTAGTAAAAAAGGCTCAAATTTCACTATTAAGTTGGCAGACTTAGTATGTTTAATTTTTTCCCCATTCAACAATTTTTTTGGTGGGGGTGGGGGTCAAAGAATTCCAGCATAAAATACATAAACAATTTTCCACAGTGATTTATTGCATTTCTCATAAACAGATGAAGTCTTTTGATCAGACTTCTTTGGACACACTTCACATCAAGACAAAATGGAGTCCTTTTATTATTATTATTATATTTTTGCCAGTGTGCATCTGGTAAATTTAGAATCCTTTTAGAATTTTAGAATTAGTTTTAATACTCTGATTTATTTGTACTCTCTGATCTATCAAGAAGATGCTCCCTTACTAAGTCAACAGAAAGTTCCTTCAAATAATTTCATTGTGACAAATGATGTGTTTCACTATTGAATTTATTAGATAATGTAAAAATTACACAATACAAAAATTTTTATACGATACTTCAGTAGCTTCATCTTGATGTATTGGTGAAACTGGCACCTTCTGCAAAATGGGTCTAGTTTTTCATTAATAGTACAATACATAGAAACGCTTTTGAAACTTTTTCACTTTTTAAAAATTAACTATTTTTCATAAAACGCTTCTTAATGTGCTTAACTTATCAAATTTTTTCGCTTGATGACTAATTATGCCATCAATCCCTGCCAGTCAAAGCATTTGCAAGATCTTGCTGCCTCAGTCCACACACAGATTAATAATTTTAAAATGACTGCAGAACATTAGCACATACAGTGAGTAAAATTTGACCCCCACTCACTACTCCTTACAGGAGGAAAAAAAAAAGGAAAAAATGTTTTTAAAGTTTTTGTTCCCAAGAACCTCTTTTACTAGACTACCTAAACAAGATACTGGAAGTAAGAGGTGCAAATTTTGAAAAATTCTTAAAATATTTGCAACACATCAAAGATACCCAGTATGTGGGCTTGCAGATTAAGCAGAAATCTAGGTGTCGAGAAACAGTGCCATTTCGCCATGTTGGCCATCATTGGCTGAACCGCCTAGAGGCCGAATCTGTGGTTTGAAATCACCACCAAAGTCTATGAACCACAGGACTCACATTTAGCCCTCTGGCAACTTCTGTTTGACTTTGTCCTGCCTCTAGTCTCCCAATGGCTTTCTATCGATTCTGAGGCAATGAGCTGGAATTGTACAAATTGGGTGACTAAGATTTCTGATGTCACTATCACAGTGAAATATGTGGGCTTGCTCTCAAACATGGACTTTTATGCTTCTTATAGATGACGTATTCCGAGTGCAATGCCACTAATTTGCATATTGAAGTTTTACTCAGCTACTCTAACTTGGCAACATATTCAAATTTTAAACGGGTTGGCTTATTTTTGAGGGAGTTATCACTATTTTTGTGATTCTTCCTTACTTTATGATAACCAATGTATTACATTACCTTCACTGAGAATCAATTCTGTCTCCCCCAATCCTTTGCAATTCCTTCTTGGTCTTAAAACTTCACCCATGTTTTCTAATTGCAAATTCAAAAACTGCAACTACAATTTACCTGTAGCAACATTAATACCTTTGTTTTCGAAAAATAAGCAAACAATACTTGAAATCTACACTATTGTTTTCTGCATGCAGTTTACAAGATGCTTTTATGCATTTTTTTCATATGGCTGCTAAGTTGGCTTTATTTTTGATTTTATGCAAATACAATTGCTTACAAGAGTATGTAATGAATTTTAAACTTGCTAAACATGTATGTTATGCTTGCTTTTAATTTTGAAGACATGCTACATACAAACCACAGTTATGAACCAAGTTCACATTGAAATACGTAAAATTATTAAAAAACATATCGTAACTTTTCATACAAATTAGATTACATTATAACCAAATTCTTATTTTTAGATTCTTCCTAAAATCACAATACATTAAAGATAGGTTGACTGCACAAACTTTTTTTCCTTCTTTAAATTTTCAATATGAAACATCTATATTCATAAAAATTACAACACTACTAAAAAAACTTCTAATTTATCTGAATACCTGAAGATTCCTAATATTTTCTCCTCCTTTTCCTATTAAAAGTCCAACTTTTGGTCCTGGTATCATCATTTCTGAAACATACTGACCATCAGGGATGTGGCCAGGTTCTGGAGGAAATGGACTATTTGCTTTGCTTATGATTTGGTTAATCATATCTTTTACAGCCCTGCATATAGTAATAGATGCATATTAGTATAAAAAAATGAAATAAAAAATTTAAACAACTAAACTGCCTGTGTGCTTATAACAAATTTTTTCAAAGTGTTTAAATTTAATTTCTTAACATTAGGAAATAAAAATTGTGCAATTATTTTTAGAATTAAATATAAAAATTTATCCTACTTACCTTTAATACCTACCTTATATTTTTAGATACCTGAAAATTTATATGATTAATAGAATAAAACTCGCATGTGGCTGCCATAAAATGAAGCTGTTGTTAAAATAGTTATTTAACACAAGATCCCATTTACAATGCAGACAATTCCACAATTAAGCTGAATAAAGAAAACAGCAAAGAACATTAAGCTGCCATCATCCCCCCCCAAAAAAATAGTCTAAAATATTATTTCCCCAGTATTCTTATATTAACTGTCTAAACTGAAAAAAAGTCCATTAAATTTAAACACATGAGCATTAAAAACATTTATATGCATTGTATTTAACCAAATCTACTACATATTTTGAATTAAAGCATACGTACATTTATAGCACTCAAACTGTAAGGTTATGTATTTTTAAACTAATAATCATATCATTCATACAAGCTGTTATTTTAATATGGTTAAATTTTATGTTGCCAAATTTATGCACATATTACAACACATACATACATAAAAATATCAATAACTTTCAAATGCAGCCACAATTTCTTGTAACATGTCACAACAGGAGAATGAAATATCATTCAAAAATTTAAAGTTATAAAGCTATCAAAAGAATTTTCAAAGAGAAAAAGTCAATCAAAGGATAACAGCCAACACGAAGCCAATCACAGGATTAGATAATAACCGAAGAGTTTGGGGCAAAATGTCTATGAATGTATGACCAAAAACCCAATTCTACAAATACAGAGGTATTTCTGCAAAATTTTATAGAGCATTTACTACTAATGCGATCTGAAAAAAATTCTCAAAAGTATATAAAATACCAAATAAATTAAGAAAAATGAGTGGAAATTCATCCACAATGAGATGGAATTGGCAGCGAATAAATCAGATATTGGCAGCGATAAATCAGATAAAAACACATAATAAGCTAACCACTATTCCTAAAGACACATATATCAATCAGCTTACCAAACCCTGCAAGTTTAGTTCCAATCATCAAATGCAATGCACGATTTTTACAAGCTGAAGAACAAAGGGAAAAAGAGGAATCGCATGAAACATTAATAAAAATCATTTCCCCTTACATATAACCACCCCAAATACATATATATCTGCATGTATGAAATACACACACATACAAATATATATAAATTCTAATATTTTATCGTTTGAAATATTTATGTGTATTAAAGTATCTTATTGCTCTTACGCCAAGAAATAAGGTACCAAATACTACATAAATGAATAAAAACAGCAACACAGGCAGTATCATCTTTTATATATATGGAGTGTCTCAAAACAAAATGCAATATATATAGTATGCAAAAATATTTAGATATTTTTTAATTTATTTTTAGTTTTTTTTAAATTAATCATAAAAAATTTTAGTAAAGATAATTACTATTGTTAAATTTACCATCAACACATGCAAAAGACTACATTTGTTAAAAGTCATTTAAATTTCTGTGTTTTTCTTTTTTAATTTTTATTATAATTGAAAAATATCTGAAATGCGGCTCAAAATTTTAGCTTCACAGCTTATTTCATATGCAAAATATAAAATTGTCTCACTCATATTTGAAATTTATTATTTACAATATAAACATTACTGAATAATATTAAAAATATGAAAAGTAATATTTATTAAACCATCGCCTGTATGTTTTATGGTAAAAAGAACCCTTAATTACAGATAAAAATTCGTATAGAACTACTAATGTGAATCCAACAGATATATAAGTTTCAAATCATTAAAAATATTTTTAGAATGAAAATATTTTACTTTTATGAAAATATGTTTCTTACAGTGTGGCCTTACCTGCCAAGCTTTCCTCCAAAAGCCACACCAAGCTCCTTCTTTTATTATCACCCTGTTAATACATTTTAATCCCTGTCAAATGAGATATTTAAGAAAAAGAAAACAGCTTCACAACATAACGACTTTTTCTGATGCTTTTATCAACAGCATTGCATCAAGAAAAAAGCGATAATGCTACTCATAATTTAAAATAAAATATGCTGACTAATGTGGGAAATATTAATATATTTCAGTTATTTCTATAATCATAAAAGTTTCAGAAGCACTTTAAATAAATGAATAACTTTCATACAATGCCAGTAAATAATACAGAAATAAACTTGTAAAACTGATGAAAATCTGATATGCTATATAATGCGCACTAAAAAAAATCACATGTCCTAACAAGAATTATGGATTTTTTGAAAGACAGTGGATACATTGAGCATAATACAGTGAAAGATAATTTATCACACTGCTGTAAATCCAAAGTATATTATTTATATTAGTCAAAAATGAAATTTACATCAAATTATTTCCAAATAATGGGAATGAATATAATTGAAAGGATTTATATTACAAAAATATGAAGGATATGCAAAGTGATATATATGCAACTAATATTTAAGTCATACTGCAGTATCTTCCATTACAGAAATTTTTTCCTTCATGTTACAAAATTAAAAGCAAACAAGTCACAGATCTAAGAAAGTTTGTTTTCAAATGTCTCAATACAAGTGAAATTATAAAAGCTAAACAATTTATATCAATGTTTTAATATACGAAATTCATTATTTATAAATTCCAATACTTTAATCCAAATAGTTTATATAAAGGTTTTACTATATGAAACTCAAGTTTACAGAAATTTCACTATTTATTTTGATTATTATTTAACTACTACTATTTAATTTATAAATACACTCTTTACAATTATTAAAGAATGCACATTAAAATTGGATTATGCAGAAACTACTAACATATACATATTTATTAGAACAAATTCAAGTTAAACGGTTTGAAAAAGCAATTTAAATTTTCAATATTTAATATCAAATTGAATATGTTATTTAGAAATTTTAGTTACAACGCAACTAAATATACATAAATGGTTAATGATAAAATTTAAAGCTCAACAGATATGACAGAAATTCACGTTAAATCGTTTCAAAAAGCAATTTTTAAATGAAAAAATTTCATTATTTAATACAAAAGTCGATATGCAAGAGAAAAACAGAGTACAACCCACTACAACACATAAATCTTTAAAGATAAAAGTTAAAGCTCACAAAGTTTTTTTCAGGAAGGAAGCAGTATCTCGGCATGAGTTCGATTAAGGAACTACTTCATAGATGAACTGCATATCAAAATCTCAATCATTGTGACTAAGTTGCTAGAACAGCCAAAAGTACCTTTTAAATAAAATTTTAATAAGTTTATGTATAAAGTACATATCGGACACACTGCACTATAACAGTATCACAAATAATTATGACACTCAAAATCCTCTAAAAATTTACGAGACTATACTTAAAATAAATGTGCTACTTCTCAAAATATCACAATAATATGAATGTTTCATGACAGATTCGAATATATTTTGTATCATGTATGAAAAATACAAATCAAAAGCCGAAATATATATCAGAATCAAAGTGTCAATAATTGAAAAAAAAAACAGTCTATAAATCATACACGTTAATATATTATTTGGATAGTAATATGAAGCTATGCAATATATATATATGAATAAATCATCCAGTTCAAAGAGTATATTTAAGAATATGACAGTATATTTTTTTTACGACGGAAAACCTGGTGATGAGAATGCTGTTACAACATACTGTTCCAGAGTCCCCATGCCATCGTGACACTATTTAACTGCCAGACAAGATGGGATCAAGTAATGGTGAAGTGTCCTTCGGATAGAAATAAAAAAAGGTGTAAAAAATATTTTGGGGAGCTAAGTATACACAGGATCTTTTAAAAAGAGTTCTCAAATATTCAGATGGCGCAATATTAAAAATATTCAAATAGTTATGCGTTTTATCAAATATTTAATAAAAATATACATAAATATATGATATTTATCATTTAACATGTATACATGTGTGTAAATTATAAATATCAAATATTTATGTTACATTTCTCTAAATCAAAAATCCATCTTCAGAATAATCATTCACACATCAATAAAACTGCATCCATTCACACAAAAAATAACCCTCATCATATAACTGAAATGCTTAAACTATGAAATCCAATCTTAAAACAGAAACACCATAAATATGGCAGGTGTAACTAGACAATATTGCCACTGAATTGCAAAGTTAATGAAAATAAAATTACAGACAACAAACAAGCAAAAAAATAAATAAAAAATAAAAACACTTCTGGTATTTGGAATAAAAATCAAAATCAAGCTTGTTAAAAAAAATTAAAACAACACTCACTGCACTGATTCCCGACTTCCAGTCAGTGTGCAAGGCCTTTCTGAAGATCCGCCACTGTCGGAAGCAAGCTGGATTTTACACCCTGTTTCTGTCTGTAATCGAATAATCTGCTCCCCACCACGTCCAATAACTGTAATGTATTAAACAAGAATTAAATCTTAATAAATCTAAAATCAGTTGTAAATTTTAATCACTCATTCAAATTTATAGCAAAACACCGTTAATTATGAAAACTTCCATTTTTTCCTAGAGCATCATCTACAATAGGTGGGCATTAACTGTCACATGAATTTGGAGGAAAATCTCCTTTAGGTCACAAACACTGCTAACCTAGAATATTAATTTTTTTAAAGAAAACAGGAGAATTTTCTCAACGATAAAAAGTTTTTCAAATAATAAAATTTTTGAAGAATTTTTTAATAATGAATTAACTTTCAATCTTATCTAATTAACATCTGGAAGTTCAGTTACTATTTCTTACATGCAAAAATACTTATATGTAAAAAAACAATTTTATTACCTGTACCTTCTAATAATAGAAAAATACTATAATCAGTTTCCCTAATCGTTTAATACAATTTTAACCAGATCATCAATCATTGAATGCAAAACACGAGTCAATGGCAAAATGGGGCTTACAAAAATCAACATGTCTGTTAAGGTTCAAAGACGAAGACATAAATATTCAATTTTCAGAGGATAAACTTACAATAAACAGAAAAATGTCCCTTGTCAAACGATTTTTTATTGTGGGACAGCTTTCACCTAATATTTTTAAAAAAATTTAGAATTGACAATTAAATTGCTCACAGGTGCAGAAATTACTTGCTCCTATTTTTAACAGTGGAATAATAACTAAATCTCCATTACCTTAAGGTAATTATAACTTTACAAAGCTATTACAAAGCAATTTATCTTAATTCTAGAAGCATTTACTTTTTACTTAAAAAACGTAAGAAGTGGGTTCTATTGGTCGAGAATTCTAGATAAAAATTTCTCTAAAGATAACCAGCGTGTACATACATATTTCGGTATTATGCAGCTGTTGGAATTGCTTCAATTTTCACTTCCTTTTAGCAAACTTTCCAAAATAATAATAAATACCAATGTGCTTATCTACACTTATTGGCAAAGGAGCTGCCCTTTTCCAGGTGCTAAATTTAACAGGTGACAGGTGCATTTCATAATTTGCAAATACGAATTTTCTTTCAAGATTCTTGCAACATCAAGTCTTTAAACCAACAATTCCTGATGAATTGTCAACACTAAATGTTAAGCGATTATCATGAAGACTTAAAACAAATTTTAATTAACTCTGCTATATATTAAACCCTCTCAAATCTCCTTAAGTGGAGGCAGAAAGTAAACTACACTCTATTTCTGAAGACTAATAAAAAAAAAAAAAAAAAAAAAAAGCTTCCAGATTTTACATTACACACAAAGCTGCATTTTTCAACATTCTGTGTGTTACCTTTATTTATTAAATATTATGTTCTTTGCAGTTAAACCATATAATATTCAAATCAAGAGCAAGATCGCGAAACAATATTAAAATGAGCATATCTTTAGAATTCAAAACACACTATCTAACGCACTGGAGATAAAAATTTTTTTTTGCACAGTGTTGCCATTGTTCACTTTGATATCGAGTTCCGTTTTATCAAAATGCAAGAAACATACATACATTCTTTAATATAACACAGGGTGATAACATTTTGTGGTAACAATCTGAAAAGTGAAACAATGCTTGTAGTGAATCAACGCGAAATGCCAAAACGAAATTAATAGCCCTTCTGGGCTAATGCCCTATAGGATCAAAAACATCTGGATACAGTTTCACATCAGAATTATAGCTTCCATCCCTAGAAAAGCAGAATAGAACTGCTTTAACCTTTTCCCGGGGGCTGGGACATACGAGTCCCGAAGTAAGTATACAACAACTGGGGGCTTGGAACAGTTTGTCATTGGTGGCAGGGGTAGGAATTCTAGCGCTGAGGCTTGATGACTATTTCATGACACCCTGTAGAGTGCGTTCTTTTGTGGGATTCCACTAATGGATTGGGGAAAATTGTCCGTGTTTTGAATTCACACTTGTTGGCAAATTTGGTATCTTCTAGGAAATATTTTGTTGAAAATAAAAAGGATAATTTGTTACTTCGATTCACACGCGTTTGCGTTTTCAGATTTTTTCCTGTGCAAATACGGCTTGGAGGTCAAATATCAAAGAAATTTTATTTTTGGAAGTTCGATTGCCAAAATTCTTCGGAAATTATTTTAAAGGCTTGAATGTAGTTAAAAATGCATAATTTTTTCAGTTATTTCTGATTAAATTCCTTTTTAATTTGGTTTCAATTCAAATTTGAAATTGTTTCATTCTTTTCATATGTGTTTTTACCACTTTATTCCATTTTTTAATGTTCATGTTAAGGCAATGTAAATAAATATAAATGTTTCGGGTAATGAAAATTATTCTAATTATATCTAATTATATTATTTCTAAATGACACATTCCATGTATGTCATTTAGAAATAATATTAAAATTAATTTCCACCAACTCCAATACATGTGAAATTTTGGTTTGGTATGTTCTAAATGAAAACTAGCAGCAGAGCGGATAATATTTCTTTATCTCTGATAATTTAACCTGGATTCAAATTCCGATGAATGGATTGACTGCATGAACTTTTCTTGTTCTCTCACATATAATTAGGGTATATCAGATAATATTTTTCTAAAGCTACAGCATGATCCTATGCATTCAGTGGCAGGTTGTTGTCCAGTACAGAAGTAGAGAACAGTCAATTTGCATTAATAACTTTCTGATCCTTTGTTTCCACAGAAAATTTTTAATTTTTTTCACTTTATAATTCACGTTGTCCTTGTCTATGCACATGTTGAAGAACCGCCGTTCCACCATGTGAAATCAAAAAATCGCAATGACAAACAGTTCACATTGCAAGATTCCATTTCCTTGACAAACTGATAAAAAGTTATATGTGTATAATTTTTGAAAAGTACATGAGTATTTTTCCGCAGACATAACTAAAAGACCACAGTTTCTTAAAACTATTTCTGGCAAGACAAACGAGATAAACAACCTTGATCTTGCTTTGTGCTCATTGGCTAAGATATATGAGATGATTCGCAATGTTGCTCAATTTTCACTGGAGAACTGGAACACAACGTTTTCAGACACGCACAGGTAAAAAAGAAATGCACCATATCTCACTAATGAAGAACATTATTCTAGATGGAAACATTTTAGGACATGCATTTAGTTTGAAATCTTTCCTCCATAACAAATTACCTAAAAAAGGGCACAAGATTCAAAAATTATTTCTTTTTTCCAAATATTTTTTTCTGTAATGACAAATGGTTAAAATTTTTTTGTGTTAAAATTATTGTCCCAACTTTCTGCAATGCTTGAAGAGAAAAATAAAAGAGTAATTTTTCAGTCAGTTATATAGCAGTGAAGAAGAAACCTGTTGTGAAACAAAAAAACATGTGAATAGTAGTGATGAGGTGACAGTCGAGATTTTTCAGGATAATTATGAACAAAATTACACATTCAGATTCAAATACTAATAAATGCAGTGGTAATAAATGTGGTACAGATACACTACTGATCATATTTTATAAGAATTGGCTATTTAGAAAGCAAGAAATGTCGATACCAAAAGAAGCACAATTCAGTTTAATGAAGGGAATGAATTCAGCTGTTGGCAATGATTTTCCTTTCTTTCAACAATCTATAATATTATTTTCAAATACTTACTTTACCTTGTTAAGTACACAAGAACTCGCCCAAATACAGTTGATGTTAATGACAGAGCTGTTGCAAGCTGCGTAAGTGAATGATAAAACTGTTGCAAGCTGCTTGAGTGAATGATTTATTGCAATGCTCCTACTGTTTGCCAGGTGTGTATGTGATTATGGCAGAGCCTTGATAGCTATCTGCATAAAGGGTAAGATGTCTTTATGGAAGACTTTCTACAGGAAACTGGCTCATATATACATTATATATGGGGTTAACAACGAAAATACCCATAGCCAGCCCGTTCGCAGGATTCAAACTGAAATAATAGTGTTCAGCGATTTCACCGCTTGGTCGCTGGTATACCCACTGTTTGCCAGAACATACGAGGTTATGATCAAAAACATTGTGCAATGTGTCCTATGTTCACCACTGCTGCATTTATAAAAATGTTTTTGTTGTAACTGTTCTTGGAGCGTTAAATATTGAAACATTTTTAGTATATGTTTAAATAAGAAAATTGGTCTAAAGGCATTGTGTGCTTTTGTTTACAGCTTTACATTCAAATAAATATCCAGCCGTTTGAATCACAGAAGAAAATTTTACACAATTCCAAAGGTAAGGGGAAAGGCAATTTAAAAATTAGTTGCAGAATTCAAATCATGTTGTTCTATAAAAAACATATGAGATAACTTGGAAAAATTATAATCAGTTTTGATGGATGGTGGACTTTATGTTCAAGTACTCTAGTGAACTACCACTTTCTCCCATTTACTTGTCTGTAGATTTCAATACTGCCATTCAAAATTATAGAACCTCAAGACACAAACAGAAAATTTTGCAAAATGTGCATCAAGCCACAAGAAAATGAGACAAACAAGAAAGAACTTCATAAAAATCATCTTGAAAAATATTCTTTTAAAGTTCTGTCTTCTAAAGTTAATTAATCAGATGATAATCATATATTAATTACTGAAAATTTTTGAAATATTTACAGAGGGCTGTTTTTTTTTTAATTTTAGCATTTAATCCACACTAATTTATTATTAGCACAGATAATTAAGTTTATTACTCTACACTAATTCATTATTAACACAGATAATTAAAGAAATTAGTGTGTCATTTTACTCCATAACAACTACATTTGGATTAAATTTTTAAAAGAGATTATTTTAAGGAAAACATCCCATATTATGCGATTAATATCAAACTTACTTAATCCAACCATTTTATCTGGGACATGATATTCTTCCACAACAAAATCTGCTGCAGCACCATTCCTAAACAGAGAATTTTTTTAAGTTTCACATATGCTTTACAATGTGTATATAAGTAATGATACATATCTTGAAGTAACTAAACAAACCTTTGCTGCATTCCCTGAACTTGTCCAAATGCTGAAATAATCAAATAAAACATTTTAATACAGTTCAAATAAAAATACAGTAAGTTCCTACATTAATAAAACTTAATGAGACATATAAAAATTAATCTAACATAAGGTGTTCATAAGACCAAATGGAACTTCAATGCTTTGATTATACGGTCTCAACTGCCAACTTAAAAAGTGAAAGACAACACTATTTTCAAAGATGGTTATGTTCCAAGAATTATATAAAGCAGCAACCAATAACAGAATAAAAAGTGTACTAAAATGTTTATAATACAACATTTTTTTTTCTTCTCCTCCCCCACATGTACTATCTGTTTTAGCTCAAACTGCTGCTTTTGCATATAAATAGCTCTTTTTAGCTTAAAAAAAATCGGATAACTGGGCAAACTGTGGCACTGACACATAATTCAAACATTTATAAAATACAACTGCATGGAATGTGAATGTTTGAATTCTCTACTGCTAGGCAGAACGCCATATTTCTGAAGAAATGCAGTGTTCTTTTTGATCAGCTAGCAAACTCCACAGCCTCATTTTGACTCCTTATAAGTGAAAAAAGAAAGAAAAAAAAATGCAAACTCATCAAACATTAATCAGAACAAGCACTAACTAAAAAAAAAGACAATTCGAAATTCACATTCAAGTGCGTCATACACACTACACTACTGGTTGCCAAAGAAATATTTTCCCATAATGTTATGAATCTTGACAGTAAATTTAACAGATCTGATGAATTATTTCCAGGGTCGGGTAAATACTCAAGTATCAAAATTTTGTAATTTTTAAACCAAAAACTGAATTACACAGAAGCAAAAAAACCACACAATATTTTCTAGATATTTTACATTACTTTTATTACTAATACTTAGTCCAAACTGCTTTTGCTTTAATATGCAGACAATTGTTTTTAACAATTAAAAAAAATACTAGAAATTAGCACACAAGCTTTCAAAGAAAAACATCAAACTTTAACAGCTGATGTTCAGATAAAATGAGCTAAATTCACAATATTTTCTAGATATTTTACATTACTTTTATTACTTAGTCCAAACTGCTTTTGCTTTAATATGCCGACAATTTTTTTTAACAATTTAAAAAAAAAAATACTAGAAATTAGCACACAAGCTTTCAGAGAAACAACAAACTTTAACAGCTGATGTTCTGATAAAATGAGCTAAATTCACAAATAGGTCACATCTCAGAACTACAAAATGTTAAAATTTCCTTCCATCGAATTTTAAAAGTTAAAAGAAGTGTTGGTCTAACATGAAATGTAAATATAGCAACAAATTGGAAATGACACAGCTGCCAATTCTGAAATATGAAAAAGTGATTTTCCAGAAAATTTTCATGATACCCAGTGATGCAATTTCAAAAGAAGTCAGATGTACTTCGTAATATGTAATGCTTCAGGCTAATGAATTATTTATATTGATGTAAAATATATATTAATATTTAACTATTTTAATAAAATACTTCAAATATTATAACTTTTTAAATACCTCAATTAAGAAACAAACATTGTCCAAGTGCTAAGTTATCAATGTTTCTTACTTTTTTAATTTTTCTCAATGGCTTGCTCTTGTATGAGACAGATTTTAAAGATTGGCAAAAAATGTAGAAAATAAAAACCATTATTGTTAATTAAAGATAAAACAAAAATTTTACTTTAATACTTTTCTTAAAAAAAGAAAGAAACGAAAATCTGATTTTACTGGATGCAACAGTATCCAATATTCTTTAACTAAAGTAAATATATGGGAACAGTAACATTTCCAAGCAACAAATGTATTTAAAAATTAAAATGTATGTTCTTAGGGTAAATAACTGTAATACAATATTAAAAATGACGTCAAAATCATTTTAAATATTTTTACCATTTCAAATAAGAGAAATTATATATTTTAATAGGCAACTTACGATCACTTGCAGCCATTTTCTTTATATCTGGAGTTCCGTCTAAAAAAAAAAAAAAAAAAATCTAATAAACATTCTTTCCCTATGACAGTCGTAACTTACATTGAAAATATGAGATTTTTCTCAAAGTAAAAAATACATTTAAAAAAATTCAATCTAAAAAATTTGGATTATACTCTAACACCTGAATTTATTATTAAAATTTCACAAAGTTGAAAAGCATTTTTTAAAAATTTCAAATATAAATGTAATTTAACCTTTATGCAAATCTGAGTTCCAAGAGCTAAAAAATTTTCAGATAGGCCTACTAGTTGAGTTGGTCCCCCAGCAAGATTATAAAAGCTTTGGAATGTACTATTGAAAATAGTAAAACCTAATTTTAAAAAAGTCCTGTTGTAATGTACATTTGTTAAAATTTAATCTAATGTGCAAATCTGCATACTTATTAGATCAAGAAATGAATAAGATATTAAGCATTTATTTCATAAAATGACTTGTACACAAAGTAAAAAATATTTTTTCAAGTAGAAATACTTTTTGCTTTACCATGACCATGTATTCTAGATTTATGTAAACATCCAGTTTGGATAACAAGTGCGCATATCTATCAGTGATGTAGGGGTGTGTGCAGTATCCCGGTTAGATTTAAATGGTTCTTCCACTTCACACTCTATCTTTCAAGTGCTGCGCAACAGAAAATTTTTGTATGAGCTTTATATGTTTTAAGCTGATGTACCGCGAAATTTTATAATTATAGAATTAAATTAAAATAAATAAAAACATCAGATCCTGACATTTCAACGAAAAACCATTAAAAGAACTGTAATGGTAAACTATTTGTCTTAATACAATTCATCAGTTTATAAATATTAATAGATAACAATTAAATTAATAATTTAGATAGTGCATCTTAGTTAATTTTTAATATTTTCAAACACTGAATAAAAAAACTTTTATCTGTTAAATATTATTTAATAAATTACATTTATTAATATAATCAAATGATCAATAAATAAAATACAGCAATTTAATGAGAAAAGGTTGCATAAAAATTATTTTAGTTTTAATTAGATATGCCATACCTTTTTCCCCCCTTTACGTTTTTCGCTGGGTAACTGGGATGGTCAGGCTTCGAATTGTGATTTTTCATCACAAACTTTAACCACGTTATACACTAATTTCTTAAAATCGCTGCGGAAAGGTTTATTTCTAGATCTTTCTGGAACACTAGAACTCATCACAAAAATGAAGATTTGAAAGTAAAAGAAGGTCAGTAACAGAGATACTGAACGATTGTAAGAAAAAGCACTAAATGACCCCGACCTCCGAGAGGAAAAAATATCCGTGCTTTTCAACTCACACCCTGTGATACTTCTTAAACAATTTGAAGTAACTCCAATGATGGAACACAGCAATAACTTTTATTTTACACTAAAAAAAAATGGTGACATACAAACAAGAGAAGAAATATAAAAACTTATTTAAAAAAAATAACTACATGCTTCCTGCGAGAAAATGCATGCGGCTCTCGAGCCCGCGTTTCAAGATTGCCAGTAACCTCTACATTATTTATTATTCATCTAGTTCAAATGCATGAGATATTAATAACAATATTTAAGCTGTTACAACCGCTACAACATCTGAGAGGGAAAAATACCCACGCTTTTCACACACATCCCTTCAGATAAACTGACTCATCTTGGCTCTCAGCCAAACTGCTCTCGCTAGTGTGGTTAGACAGTAAGATGTGAAATCTGCTCACCTTTACTGATAACACAGCACTATTTAAAATTTCTTAACTGGTATTTACTTGACAATTTTTAAGAATAGACTTGTTTATCTTAACAAACATGTATGTTTATACTAATTCAATAGAAAATAGTTCCTAAGATATTTTTGATGGGAAAAATAAAATGAATTTTATTCTTTACAGTAATTAATTACAAATAATCCTTAACCCCTTCGCGCCGACTGTCACGTATACGTGCCAGCAACGAACACACTTATCTACCGGCCGACATGCAGGCGTGCAAGAGCATTGTTGCGTTTTCTACCGAATGTCACGTATTTGTGCCAGTACCTTGGAATGTTTTTCAAACTATAATTTCTGCCACAAGATAGCACTGTATGCCCATATGGTTTCAGATACATGTACCTTAGACCTTCTACTCGAAATGAGAGAAGCGTGACTCACATACACGTGTTTTTGATTATATAAACAAACGGGGAACTAAATGTTTCTGAATGGCGTGATTTATGACTTATCTTTAAATCGCACTTTATTCGCACGTGGTAGTTGTTTATAGTAGAAGTTTTATATGCGCGAAAGCGTTGAGTATTTCGGTTTACAGTTCAGTTTTTAGAAAATAATTAGATCTTGTTAGACGTGAATTCTTTCTGTTTTTTTACCGTTTCAATGTTTGAAGCGTCGAAAATGTTTAACAGAGCATGAAATAGCAGAAATGATGCAAAATATTTCAGATATTGATTTCTGAAAAGATTAACTGAAAGAACATTTTCCAAAACTTTGTTCAGAAGAGACTGATAAGAAAATGAGACAACGGTGCTTCGTTTGTTCACATTCCCGGAAAAATCCTCCAAAACGGCAAATGAGTTATTACGAGTTCAAGGAATGTAACGTAGGACGTGTGTGTAGATCCCCGTTTTTAAAAATTTTTCTACGAAAAGAGAATATATTTAGTTTTCAGATGTATAATGTTAAAGGCCATAGATGGTGAGTAATTAAAATAAAATGTGTAAAAATATGCATTTTAAACAAGAAATAAGGTAATTAAAGTATATATATAAAAATATTTATAAAGCATAAGCCGTTTAAATACTCTATAGAGCATTATTAAACAATGCGTTGATACTTCGGAAATTTCATGGATTTAGGCTTAGTAGCAAAAAAGCTCCCGGCCCTGGAGAGACGCTCGCGGAAGAAACTGCCGGCCTCCGCGATAGCAAAAACAAAGAAATTGTTATTACAAAAGCAAGTGGACATAAAATCGGAAAAACAAATTTACGTGAAAACTCGCAGCCCATTGTACAGCCTGGACAAAGAAATATGTTTGTTGCTTTTTTCTTGAACAAGTCTATTTATTCAACATTTAAGGGATATATTACAAATAGATAAATTTGCACCATTTAAGTTATTTCCTAACAGTTGCCAAAATTCACAACCTTAATTGTAACAAATTTAATGCATCATGTTTAAATGTCACCAAAGTTTTAGGCAGCAACCACATTAACTAGGAAATACCCATTATAACATCTATACAAAAAAAAAAAAAAAAAAAAAAAAAAAAAAAAAAAAAAAAAAAAAAAAAAAAAAAAAACCTATACCTAAAATATGGATCGCCCAATACAAGTTGTTCTTCAAGTTGGAACGAGCATAATTTAATAAAGTTAATTAAGTCATCGAATTTGGGTAAAATATTAAAAAATTATGACAGTAATTTTTTAAGTTTTAAAGATTAAGCAATATGAAAATCATGCAGATTTTAGATCACTTAATTTCTATATTTTCTGCTTAATTTACTATTACAGTTATTAGAATACTTACTTCATTAGAGTAATGAAGATAGTTTTTAACGTCCTTGTACAAAGTAAAGGATGTATCGTAAACGCAAAAAAATTTAGGTTTCATATTTTAACAAAAATATTTTGACCATTCTCAAACCCATTTATACGATGTTTTTTGCATATCTGTACGTATGGATAGAATAAAGGACCCCCCCCCAAACAGACCGTAAAATGGATTCAAAAGAGTTTTTTCCCCACGACATCTGTACATGCATAACTTGAAAAATGAGTAGCCTCATTGCTATAACATGTAATTGCAGACCTTCCTTTTTGGTTGCAATTGCACACACCAAAAGTTTATATTAATATATAAATACCCTTACCCAGCTCGCTGAGCTCAGTCTTATATGTTGGTAAATTGCACTTCTTCTTTTTTTTTTTTAATTTTAAAAGTGTTTCAATTATATTCAGGTTTTTATGCCTTTAGTTAATCTGCATGCAATAGTTGTAGAAATATCAAGTAGAAGTAGAAGTTGTTTAATAGTACTAAGCCTAACAAAGCTGCCATTAGTTTACATTTGAAACCCTTAGTAGAATAGTTAATTCAGTCAGTTTCTACACTAAATTAAGTGTTTATTTATTTATTTATTTTATTGTTGTTTTGCAGAGTGGGACCAAAAGTAAACTTTCATTTTTGTGCACTGAAAAATCTGTCTTTCTGCCCACAAGCCAAATTGCTTGCTTTTGCAATGAAACTGTTATTCTAACTGTTAAAAGAAAATTTTAACTGTATTTGGTGTTTTATGATTCTCTATACTTTACAATTTTAATGAAGATGTTTCAAGCTTGTATGCTATTTTGCCATGCTGCGAAGTAAGAACTAAATTACTTGAATGATAAAAATATCTCTAATGAAATTTGAAGAAGTTTAAACAAAATGCAGAAAAAATGTGCATAATTTACTAAGCTATACCAAGGAAGTCTTTCAAACGTTTGGACAAATGTTTGAAAAAAAAAACAGATGCATAGGATATAGCAATCAATAAGATTTTTGGAGGAACTACAACATCATGGAAGTTATTAAAAACAAATCTTTCTTATAATGAGGTAACGGCAAAATGTTTGAAAGAAGTGTGGAAAAACATTTGGCCAGATTTATACAAAGACAATGACACTAGATATTCTGTTGATTATGAAAGAAATCGTGGAATTAGCAAAACAAACTGGTTTTAGATGAAGTAAATGTAGAAGATCTCGAAGAAATTTACCAAGAAACAGCTGAAAGGTCTTTTTAATGATGAGCTCAAGGAATTAGCAGAACAAGAACACAAAAAAATTAAAAATAGCGATTCAGAAGAAGAGTAAAAAGAACTTTTAACAGCACTTCTAAAAACCAGTTTAGCTTCCATAATGGAAATTATGGACTTATTTATTTAAAATGACACTTTTACTGTATTAGAAATGTCTTCAGCTTTCATTATACTAACTTTCCCCAGTGACCACTTAAATCAGTTTACAAAAGACTACTACATCAGAACACAGAAAAGGCTAGCATACAAATCTTGCAAGAAATATTTGATATGCACTGTTTTAATAAAACAGATGCCACATTATGTGACTACAGTTAATCTTCATTCGGATGCTATTATTGATTTGATGAAGACCCGCCCATTCTATAAGAAAATAACACAAAATATGGTTGATCTTTGGAATATGGTAACTGGTAGTTTGGCGACATTTTGGAGGCGATAAAGGTTACTACCTAGGACTTTGTTAATAATGTGAGAAGCACTCAGTTCCGATTACGCATTATTTTGTGTGAGGGAAATGAGAGATCATGAGATATGTCATGTGACATTAATGGACGAATTACAGTTGTTTAATCGGAAAAGGGGGGGGGGGAATCTGGAAATTTCGGATTTAGCTATATTCTGTGTTGTGTGAAACGTGACATTAATGGACGAATTACAGTTCTTTAATCGGAAAAGGGGGTTAATTTGGAAAAGCTTGATTGTGTGTTGTGTGAAATAGTGTTGATTAATTTCGGATTGCATGGTGCTATGTAAAGTGAATTCTAAATTTTTAATGCGTTTATCTAATAATAATAAGTTGAGATTGTGTGAAATCAAGGATATTACAAGTTTAAATGGTGGTGCAAGAAATATGGTGAAAATGGACATTTTGTTAAAAGGAGTGTAAGGAAGGGTACGTGATTTGCTGAAAGTAGTTTGAGTATAGGTGAAATTTTATTAATTTCTTATCACTTGGTGAATAGACTTCCAGTTGACTACTGGATTTAGAAATTAGCAGTAGTACTGCAGCGACACACATAATGAAGATTCTGAAGAAGATTAGGTAAGTTAGTATTTTTAATCATATTTGAGGATATTATTTTTATGCATTGTTCTAAATGCAAGGAGTAAATAAATTAAAATGGTATTATTTGAAAATTGTTATATTAGCAATGATTTAGTTTAAAGTAATTAGGATTGTAATCTAATTTTTATTAATTAATGTATGTGCTTATTTATATTAAGTAGTGTTTTTTAATTTAATTATATTTTATTTAATGATCGTGATTTTGTGAGTTATATATTTTGTAGTATTTTGGAATATGTTTGAGTAGTATACGTTGAGTATTTTTTCATGCATTTTCGTGAAATTTTTCTAATTCATGACAAAAAAGCAGTGTACATGGATATAGTGAAGAGTGTGCGCAATGCCATTTTTGTGCAATTCTGGGATGTTTTTTTAAGTAAAAATAAGTCGACATGTACATGGTTTTAGTGATATTTTAATTAAATAATAGTTATTTTGTGAATTTATGTTTTTTTTTGTAGGAATTTGGTATACGTTTTAGTTGAAGTAAACGTGCATGGAAATAATTTAAATATTTGACACTAAGTATTTGTAATGTTTGCGGTATGAATTCGTTGGTGACGTTTATATATAATAGATAATTTAGAGGTAAAAGTTTTTAGATATTTTATTTATTTTATACGTGGAAATGTTCATATTTGGAAAAAAAGGGTATATACTTTTTCGCGATAAGGATAAGGTAATTTCATATACGTTCTTTTTAACCGGGTTTAAAGATTCAGAAAATTGTCATGCATTTTCGTGAAATTTTTTTAATTTATGAGAAAAAAAGCAGTGTACATGGATATAGTGAAGAGTGTGCGCAATGCCATTTTTGTGCAATTCTGGGATGTTTTTTCAAGTAAAATTAAGTCGACGTGTACATGGTTTATGTGTATGTGTTATTGTGAAAAACGAGCAAGGAGTTTGAGATTGTGCACTTTTTCCCAATTTTGCAGTGAATATTTGTCATGATTAAGCAGTTTTGTTAGATAAAATTTCCAGTATAAGTGTAATTTGGCTAGTAGATTGTTGGAAAAAGTGTTCAGTGCGGAGGGGAAAAAAAAATAGAGGGTTGCTGTAGCAGAGTTGGTCGCCAAATTTTTGCCAAAAAATCGTTAAGTTACCATAATCCAAAGATCAACCCAAAATATTTTACTTTCTGTGACCACCAACCGGTTAAATCAATAAATAATAAAAGAAATTCTTTACACTGAAGTAGTCACCAAATATCAAAGTAGATTACAAAAATTAACAAATGACAAAGGAATTTTATCAAACAGCTTGGTCTTCGTTTTAATCAACCATTTAAAATTAGGCAATAAAGGAAAACTTAGTTTGGGGTTTACTTTAAATCACAGATTAACAGCTGGAAAACACACAACCTCCTTCTTCAGGGGAGGGAGGATTCTCCCCCTTTCTTTGCTCTTGGGGAAGTGGAATCCAGGACATCTAAGGTTGTCTTTCCCCTCCCAATTTTTATTTTACATTGGCTTTTTCAACAAGAGATGCAGTTTAGCACAGATTTTGAATATCTATTGATTTTAAGTACAGCCAGAGATAGCTCTTTTTTCAGGAGGATTAAAAAAAACTTTGAAAATATACAAGGTTGCTTTTTTGCCCCCAATTCTTAATTTTACACTGGCATGTTCACTCATGTGTTAAGATTAGGGGTTCAGCAATGATCCAATTACTTTCAGAAATGTTATCAACAGTTCATGTAATGAAGTTTTGCATTAAAGACATTGTATGTATATGCTTTTGGTTGTATTTATATTAAATCAGTTAAATCCATTGCTATTTTGAATATGCTGTAAATCGGGACGGGGGGAGAACGATCGGAAATCCAGTCTCCCGCCTAAATCGTATGTGTGCTAACAACTCTGCAATAGTTGCCATGATAGTTGCTTTTTCAGTTTTATGAAAATTATATCCACAAATTGAACTTAAGTTGCTACTGTTAAGCATCCTAGTTTGAAATATTGTTTACATATAGATCGATAAAGTATTCAAAATATTAAGAGCAAAAATTTCATATTTTATGCATTTCCTACATAAATTTCTTTTAAACTTATGCAATAATATACATATCTAAGTTTTATTTTGCAATTAGGTGAAAAAGGATTTATGCATACTTCATCATTTAGATAAAATCAAGAACAAAATTACAATAAACACTGCATGATAGTGTTCACCTTTATTAACAAAAGTAATTTTAATTTGATGGAGTTAACCAAAAAGTAACATGATTTAATAATGCTTACCTGTCATACCATTCATACTATCTTCTAACGGTCTTTTTGTGCCACTAGTTATACTATTACTTTCACTTCCTGTTGAATGGATTTTGGCAGCAAGCTATCAAAAATTTAAAATGATAAATAACTGCTATGAATATTAATTAATAAACAATATTCAGTTAGTATATATTTTAGGGTACCCCTTGGATTATTGCCAAGTTGTTTCATTTATGGTAACCTGAGTATTTTACGTTGAATGCTACGGAAACCCTATCATAACGTGATTGGCTGTAATGCATCATTGCAGTGATTTTGATTTCACAGGGCTTATTTCTGCGTTGGAAATACGTTACTTATTTTGTGGTGCACGCCATAAAATAGCTGCATGGGATATGATTAACTTGAAGTTTCTGTATGATTTGGACTGCATGAGGGAAAAAAAAGCAACTGGTGCATAAATGAAGATTTAAATGCTTTGTTCACTTCTCGGTTAATTACTCAGTACGATTTAAGGATTTGAAAACTAGAGCTTATATTAATACTGTGGAAGGTATATGGAACGTAATAAAAAAGGATTTTCGATAGAAAAGCCACCGATTGTCCGGCAGCATTGGGGTTATTCTTTACATTTGTGAATTTATGTGGTGATGGCAGTATACCGATTCTAGTTTAAGTAATCTTAAATAGTTTCTGGACGCGGTTAACTCTTTCGCATCGAGAGAGGGCAAAATCTCAATTCCCCAAACATCGAAAACGCCCGTATCTAAGAATTTCTCCTGGAATGCTCTTCCTTCCCCCATGACAAGTTGAATACTACAGTGCTAACAATAGCCTTACTTAAGTACAGCGAGAACTTTCTTCGATGCTTTAACACTGTGTGAAGTTTCCCCTTGGGACATAATTGCAACTTTGGGCATCAAAAGCTAAACACTGACAGTAAACAAAGGAAAGGAAAGAACAAAGAAACAAGGAAGCTACTTTTAGTAACTTCAAAAGAATGATTGACATGCGATTTAACATCACCTGAAAGCAATGAGTAATGCAGTAACATGATGGGGAGAAAGCACTGGGTAGGAAATTATTCAGGCGTTTCAGGCATCCAGCCGATGTCTGAATGCTCAGGCGTTTGGGGCGACTTCGACGCGAAAGAGTTAAGGAATTCTGTGTGTCACACATAACGAAGAAACAGAACTTTTTAAGGAAGCACTACCGCAGAGAACTCGGTAAATGTAAACATCGCCAACTTTGGCAATAATAGTTCAAACCTGGTAACCCAGCAGATTTATCCTATTAGCTTGTTTGAAGTTTGCAACCATTCCTCTTGCATTCATTTTGTGGAATTATCACTGATGTTGTTCGCATTCGTAGATTTAGGTACTTTTCCGTTTTGCCGGCGCAAGTGATAAAGTCGCTAATAATGGTACAACCGATGGCAAACAGAATATTCTCGCTGGTAACCTTTTACGCCTCATTTTCAAAACAAGTCGCAGCTTTTTCTTATTAGATTGATTGTTTCTTTCAATACTGACATACAATTACATAGAATTTTTATCAGATAGTTCAGTTTTATGTCCAAGACCATTTTCGGTAATTAAGTCAATTAGGATGCAATCACAGCGCTTACCCGAAAATATAGAAAAGGTAAAGGGTTAAATTCATCAATTCTAATGAGAATGCATTAGCGAAGTAAAGCACTGCAGTTTTACATAATTTCTGAGTAAGCTATTCGTACGAATTGAAATATTTCCTGCATTTAAACTTGTGTTCCAAATTAAGATTTAACTTGAAATTAATGTAGATAATTACTGAGAGCATTAGATTTTTGTACAGAGTAGTTTACGCGAGATGAGATCGCTTGGGGTCACGTGATATGAACCGGCGAATCAGGATGTTGAACCATGAAAGCATAGTAAATTCTTAAATTAATGTCTTTTTACAAATTTACTGTCTATTTATCGGCTTTTTACAAAATTTTAAGCTATATTAAAATGTTTATGCCTTCAAAAAAGGAATTCTTAGAACTAACTTTTTTAAAATATTTTTTATGTGTATACTGTATGTTGTCGCCAATAAAGTCTGCTTGGTGAGATTTGCGCCGGCGAAACGGAAAAGTACCCAGATTTATATTATTCTTCTCTTATTATTATTTTTTCTGAATTTTTTAACAATGAATAGATAGAAATATTTTCGTAGATAGATGCCGGTTCTCCTTGGGATGAAAGGAAGAAAATATGGCGAGAGGGGTGAATGCTAATTTGTAACACGGCTGTTCACGTTGTGTTCTTAATTATTAACAGCTCTAAAACCATGAGCAGAATCGTGAGGTTTCCAACCTCTAAAATAATTTGTTTTCGTAGGCCGCAAAAAAAATATGCATGTGCATTTTAATAAATAAATAATGCTTTTATTTTTATTATTAGTTATTGTCATCTAAAATTATGAGAATAATCAATTTTGATGGCGTAAAATTTTAACAAGATAATGTTAATGCTTTTCTAACAATAACCTTTCAGAGGATGGCAGATGTGACATAAATAGATGATTAAATTGAAATAAAAAATATTATTGATTATCTAAGATGACAGAATAGTTTGTGCATCACCATGGTCATCAAAATTAGCAAACCACTGCTGGTGTAAGGAATATATTGTTTTCTGTGTTAACTGGAATTTAAGACATTTTTTTTTTTTTTTTTGTTTATCGCATTTAACCGGTTCATTTCAGTACATTAATACTAATTTATATTTTTTAATGAATATATCACGTTTAACCGGTTAGTTTTACATCTACAGCTTATTATCTGTGAATTTTTACTACCACATGCTTAATATATTGTTTTGTCTGCTAACTTGAATTTACATGCACTAAAAATCATGTTAACAAAATATCACGTTTACGGCTCAGCTCATCATCGATGAACCGCAAACTTGGTGAGTAAAAGTGCAACGGCGTCAAAGAGTTCTTCCCCGAAGCGCCAACGGGCCCTTTTTAAATGAAGTCGATATTTCCTTTTCGTACTGTGTAGATTAGATAACATGCGTTTCCATTCTTATGTTATTTCCTTGTTTGATTTAAAATGCAGTTTATTGAGATTATGTATTTTCTGGTTTAATTATGTTCTATTGCATTATGTTTTGGACCCCATTTTACTGTGGAGGGCTTTGGATGTAAACAGGAAATGACGACAAAAAATTGCCAAGGGGTTCCCTGAAAAATATTTTTACCTAACAGCCATAGCTTTCACAAGGTTTCAAAAGAAAAATGCTTAATTCTGGCAACTACCATATATAAAGACAAACAATAAAAAAAACTTTTAAGAGTTAAGGAATTTAATACTGATTTTAAGTCAATATGAATATTAGCTACCAGCTCAGTGCAAAATTATTTCCATGAAACTAATGAGTTGACAGTATCTTGTACCTATGAAAAAGAATCTCAAGTTATAGATCCTTCATTATATAACCATGAGGTACTTACACAACAAAGCATTCATTATATCATGTTTGAAAGCAAAAAAATATCTGATGATGCAGGACAATAAAACTGCATTTTAAATGTGGACTTTTCAGTTATTAATGATGCAGCAATACACATAAGAGTCTAGACAAATATCAATAAACACAAGTATAAAAACTGTAACTGCCTAAAAATAAAGGTCATTTTTAAAAATAAGTACATGTTTCAAAAATCAATATTAATTACTCTCTGAATGTAAAAAGTACTTTATATGAAATATGAAAAACTGAAGTCAAAATTAAAAATAACTTTCTTGTCTCTGCATACAGCAGAACACAATATCACAAAAATACGCAACTCAAACAAAACAACTGTCAGGTCAGTTTTAATGTAATCATCTACATCACTTAGATACTGCAACATTTTCAAAAGTCCACTCAAAACCAGACAATTCAAGATCTTTTTAAATCAAACATCTACTAGGTTTAATGGAACATTATTACACTGTGATTCGTATAAAAGAAAATGCATTAAATATCAAATTTTAAATTTATAGAAATATTATTAAAGCTAATCAACTAAGCATCTGAATAAAAGTGTACATTAAATATCATCGTTTAAGTATATACTAAATTTTTATCAAATTAGTATCAAAAATCAAATACCTTGAGAATTCTCTCACCTTGTTTCTTATGCTTCAATAGCATATGCACTTACAAAATTTTACGACTGATATAAAAAAATTTTTCTTTCGCATAGATTCAACAATTCCATCGAACTTACCATACAAAATATGGCGATTGCAAATAAATTATACTACAAAACGGAACTTTACGTTCATGATTTTGAATATACACAAGACTACACGTAAATCATCAAAACTAATTATATCAGTTTCTTATATCGAAATGGGAAATATTTAATAAACACATATATTAAATAAAACAGAACAATGAAACGCCATCTTGAAGGCATGGTTTACATCGGCAAACGTGAATTACTTCTTAACTAAACGAACACAAATGTTTACAATCATCTGTAGGAAATGCATAATTTACAACTTAAAGCGACACAAAAAAACAACGTTACATTAAGTATAAGCTCAGAGAAAATTTCCCAAACGAAACAATGGAAACGAACGCCACTGTTCAACATGACAAAAAAACCACCTGTTATAATATACAAGTTCAAATTTCAAATCATAACATAAATAAATCAAACTTGTACCTGGCGAGCTCTCTGTACAGCATCCGCAAAAGCAGAATTTGGTTCGTTTCCCCCAGAAGTATTTGGTTTTTGAGATGAAGACTTAACACTGGAATCCGACATAGTGCAAACTGCAAAATGGCACAATCAGTGTCCAAGATTTGAAGTAGAAGTGAATTTTGCCAACTCGCAACGCTTCGCAAGAACGGCAACGCTAATTCACTTTCTCTTTTTATGAGGCAAACATGCTAGAAAGAAATTTATAATTCTTAAAAAAATAATAATAACTTTAAATTAATAATTTAGAAAATGCTTGACAAAAAGTTTCCTAAGAATAATCAAAATGCGACGGAAACAAAAACTTCTAAGAATTCTTATATATATATATTTTTTTTTTTTTACATTTCTAAAAAATAAAATTTAAAGATTAAAATTTTAAAAAACAGATAATATTAACAGAACATATTAAACAGAATTAATATTAAACAGAAATTAATAAAAAAACAGATAATATTAATACGATGATTATGTGTATCGCATAAAAATGTTAACATGCATTTGGATAGCAAAATATTATCAAAATTCCTTCATAGTTAAATTTTCAAGCTTCATTTTCTCCATTAATTTTTCCGTCTAGCTTCTGAAACCAGCAGAATGAATTCTAAATTATCATAAAAACTTCAGATTTTCCTTCCTTACTATGAGAATTTAAAAAAAAAGTTCTCCTTTCTGTAATGATTTTAATTTCTAAAATGGATCTGTCTTCAAAATCAATAAAAATAATAAATAAAAAAATTATAGATTGATCCTTCATATACTAGCTGAAAAACCTGACAGGTTTCGCGGAGTTCTTCGTAACAGGAGATGTGCAATCAAAAAATACAAACCGGATCCCCCACCCCCGCTCTCCATAGATATATTATGAAAGATTCTAATTCTGATCAAATATCAAGTAAGAACAAGCCACTCAGATTAAATTGACAAATCTGAGATAATCTGATACAAATATCATACTTCAAAAGTGAAAGGGCGGTCAAAGAAACATTTTTCTTTCTTATAATTTTTTATTAAACGAAGGATAAAAACACAGAGCGCAAAGCTCTTGTAAAATGGATTAGAAAGTGATGATAGTGAAAAGTGTTACTGCGGAAATCTTGTATTAACTCTCTGGAGGTATTTCGCAGCAAATTTATTATAAAATTGTAAATAAATTCATTACTTCTTTATATACAGGGTGCGCACAAAAACAGTCCCTGATTTCAAGGTGTCACAAAATTAACAGTTACTTGGATATGTTGATAAATGTAATATCCACAACTCAGTTAACTCAAATATTTTTCATTTCTTTTCTTTTACAGAATTGCTACGCATTGACTTCGACTGCTAGAAGGCAGTGACATCGAAAATGGCGTTCTACCCGCAGCAACGAAGCTGGTGTGTGTTACAATTTGCAAAAACAAGCAGTGTTGTGGGAGTAGCGAGATTTCAAACGAAACTTTGATGTTGATCCACCTACACACAAATCCATTTTGAAGTGGCATAAAGACAGGGTGCATTTATCATAAAAGAAAAGGACATTCTGACCGACCTTCCGTCTCGGAGGAAATTGTTACCCCCAACTCTGAATGATCTTCAAGAAAGCATCAGTTCTGCTGTGAACTCCATCACACCGGATACGCTTCACAACGTGTCGTTGGGAACTGAATTACCGCATCGATGTTTCCCACGTAACAGGTGGCGCGCACATTGAGTGTTTGTTATTCAAATCAATACCACCAAAAAGTTTCTAAGTTTATGTAATTATGTTAAGAATTTGGGCAAGATAGTCCTTTCAGTATTAAAGTTATCCCCTTTCGAAAACGGAGAGCGTATTTTTACTTCCTCCCTATGAAACGCAACCCGCGACTAACTGGTCTAGTCTGGACACCGGTCGAGATCGATATCGGAAAACCAGTCGGGATTCTCGTTCCGCTCGACAGCAAAAGGGAGAGCGAATCTGGCCCCTTCAAATTCCGTCGGCGGAAAGTAAAGTGGAAATTCCGCGCGGAAGTGACGTTTATTGCATAGCAACCAGTCTATCTCACCTCTACATTGCTCCAGGCTCAGGCAACACCTCCTTATTTTTTTATTTTTCACTTGTGAATCTTTATTTTCAAGTTCAGCTATATAACTAACACAATACAGTTAAGTACATATACAACTAATATTATTGGTTCTACAGATTTAAGCAATAATTTTAAATTGCACATTGAATTATTTGCTAAGCAAACCTCTGATATACTAATTTATTTGAAACTTGCAAGACACATAGCATATTATAGACAAAATTTAGTGCATTTTTAATACCATTTTCTTTTAAAGACAAATTACTGATTGGAAGAAAAAATGAAATGATAAGTAATAGTTTGTATGCAGATAATTTGGGTTTTTTTCATAAATATTAGAAAAATATAAAAGCAATATTAAATTATGAGGGAAAAGTCAGAAATTCCTTTTTTGAGTTAGTATGGCTGATTTTTAACTTTTAAATGCTGCTGTGAAACCTACAAGGAAGTATAATTCATTAAAGTCAAGAAATAAGAAACAAAAAATCTTAAATTTATGTCAAATTTTATTGTGTTAAATTTTGAAGTAATTAAATTATTCATTATATATAATTGAATCTCTGAATAAAATCCCACCCAAGTATCTATATCAAATAGTGAAATCAACGTTAAGTACGGCACTAGCGCGCAGCCTGTTTTGTTTCGTTGCTCTCTCCGGGTTTCGACATAGACGACTACGCGTGACGTCACAATCCAGTGTCCCGGCTTCCTTCTATAAGGAGGTGTTGGCTCAGGGGAAGGGGGTAGTTTGTTGTCAAAGGGGCTGTTTCGCACGTGCTTATTACTGAGGATGGTGGTAGAAAAAAAAATCGAGTTCGAGTAAATGGTGAAATGTTTCGAAAAAATACGCTGCTGGATTTAGTAAAGAGTATGGAAAAAAGAAATGGGGAACGTTAATGGATATTTTAACCGCAGAAAGAAATGGCCTTTTACAAAACTTCAGGTATGTGAAGAAATGTAAATATAATTTTAAGTATGATCTTTTGCAAAATGGAAATTTTCTAAAAGGTTACATGTTTGTAAACTATTTGAAATAGTTATTAATAGAAATTAATTTTATGATTAAAATACATTATTTTGTCTGAAAAAGGTTATGCAACAACGCCATAAGTCAAATCATTGAAATATAGCACCGCGTACGCGTGTTTAATATTCCTAATGAATTTGAATCAAAAAAATTTTAATTTTTAGCAACCCATGATTATATCAATAATTTTATTTATTTCAGGAATTATACCTATCACGTAGCCACAAATATACTATGTATCGTAGATACCAATAAGCAGTGAGTAAAAATATAACAAACATTCTAACAAAAGCAATAGGAAGAAAAATAAAAAAAATTAAATAACTATGGGTTAAATCATAAAACATATTATCTTGCACACACACATACATATATTTTAACATATGCAGTGAAAGGAAATTGCAATACATATTCCTATTTATACTCTTTTTAAATCGATCCCACCAGCGACAGTGTGGTAAAATCGCTGAACACTGGTAGTTCGGCCCGAAGTCAGAATACTGCGAACGGGTTTGTTGCATTACCAACATATCTCTGATAACCAATATATCTGTCATTACCAACATATTTCTCGTAATTTCCAAAAGCATAAAAAATTAAGGCATATGAAACCTGTTTTAAATAAATAACTATATGTATATATAAATGTATTATAAATATACTAATATATGCAGTGAAAGGAAATTGCAGTGCATATTTTTTATGCCCTTTTTAAGTCGATCCCACTAATGGCCGAGCGGTAAAATCTCCGAACACTGGTAGTACGGTCCGAGGTTCGAATCCTGCGAACGGGCTGAACGCATTGGCGTCGTTACCAATATATCATTGGTAATATCATGGGTAACAGATATATCATGGGTAACTTCCAGATGCATAGAAGTTTAAGGCACAGAAAATATATTGTTTTTGCCCTTGATTTGCTTATACTTCTGAATTTAAATGTTATTGTAGATTAGTTCGAGAATTAAATCTTTTATATGTTTGCACATTTTTTATATATATATTTTTTTAAAAATTATTTTGGCTTTAAATTTAATTTTGCTTTTTTACTTTTATACGTGTTTATTAAAATTAAAATTTTGTTTAAATTTTAAATATATAATATATATATAAAACTGTATAAATATATTAACAGATGCAGTGAAAGAAATGGCAGTACATATATAATTATACCCTTTTTAAATCGATCCCACCAGCGGCCGGTAAAATTACTGAACACTAGAAGTTTGGTCCAAGGTTGGAATCCCGCAAACGGGCTGGTAGCATGGACGTTTTCGTGGTTTTTCCCATGTGTTACGTGTATGCGAGCTAGTTTCCCTTAGAATGTCCTCCACGAAGGCAACCCTCACTTTAGGCAGATAGCCCTCTAGGCTTTGTCGTAATTACATAATACCAAAACTAAGCACTTTTTAGATCTGAATAAATATACACAAAACTAATGTAATATCTAAAAGTAGACCACATTAAAAAATCTGATAACTAATCATAAATCTTGCATTATAATATTGACAAGAATTTAACTGAAAATTATAAATTTAACTTGTTTTATGCAGGAGATTCTAGAAACTATTGGAAATTGACATTGATATCGGTACAGTTAAAACTACTTAAATAAATTTTTTTAACTCAAAGCAATTTAATGTAAATGTTGAATTTAGGATGTGCATTGTTTGAATTATATACTGCATATTCTTTAATGCATGTCTAATGTATTGCATTTTTATACATTACAAATTCAAATAAAGTAAAGTAAAAAGGAAATACATTATAATTTAAAACATAAAATTTCAAAATTTATAAATTACTCATCAAAACATGAAATTAAGTACATTGATATATACATTAGTTTAAAAATTACAATTTTAAATAAAAAGTATACACCCCTCCTTTATATGTGAAATAGGAAAACACCAAATATATTATTTTCACTAAAATTTAATTAAGGCATTGGTAACGTAGAATAAATAAATAATGTAGAATTGTCAGCATCAAATGCGTTATTTCTATAGCGAAATACTCGTTTTTCACAAATCTTAAGAAATTAA